ATCAGTGCAGGGCGACCTGTGCTTTTGTATAGTTCTTGGCTCTCAACTGTGGGAGCACACTTGTCTTGACCGTGTGTTTGGGTCGCCGCAGGACCGTCGAGGAGCTACTCGGGATGGACATCTGGTCCTGGGGAAGGGGTCGAGGGATCCACGCTGTCAAGCTCAGTAGGTCTTTGGACACCCCCCAATCCATGGAAGCTAATTATTTGTTCGGCGACCTTACCGACGGACTGGGGTCCCACCAATAGTGGAAAACGTATTTTCCTACAGCGACGACGACGACGACTAGGACTAGGACTAGGACTACGGCTATGACTACGACTTGGATTACGATTGCGAATGCGATTGCGATTGCAATTATTATGATAAGATGCTCACACATCCTCTCGCGTGTATGGTGCCCACAGTGAAAAATCCGTGGGAAATATATTCCACCGCCCAGCAATAGAGGGTACACAATCTCCGCCGCGACGGCGACGAAGACGACGACGAAGATGACGACGAGGAGAAGGAGGAACAGGGGGGAGCAATACTAAAGACCTCCTGAGGTTACAAACGACACGATCCAGGCCTCCTAAGCGCAGGGGCAAAGGCAGGGGTCAAGGGGAGGAGAAGGCACCGATGCCGCTGCTCGACCTAGAGGACCCGCGTCGCCACGGCTGGATTCTCCTCGACAGTCCGGTCAGAACGCAACCCTAGGGAGATCCCTGGAGCAGCGGCATTGGCACCCTGTCGCTTATGCACCACGTCGCCGATACGTCGGCGGTGCGGTGCGCTCCGGAATCCGGGCTTCTTCGGGGCCCAAAGAATATACACCATTACTACGTCGATTCCTCCTCTCTCCTCCGTCCAGCGAGAGGGAGGGGGGGAGGGAGGTGGTGGTGGATATTTTTTGGCCCCCCACTTTTTGTTCCCAGCCCGGCATGGCCGATTCACCCGCGGTGCATCGGCCGGCGGTCGGCGGTGCCGTGCGACCCGCGAGCTCCGTGTGCGCTGCCCCTGCCAGCCCCGCGTCAGAAGGCCCCCGGCGCCCTGGTTTTCCCCAGCGCCTGGGGCCGCGCAGCCCTCGACCGCGCGGCCCTCGGAGCGGGGCCTTTATCGAGGCCCAAGCTCCTCCTCCTCTTCCTCCTCCTCCTCCTCCTTCTCCTTCTCCTCCTTCTCCTTCTTTTCCTCGTCCTCGTCCTCCTCCTCCTCTTTGCTCTTCCTCCCCTTTCTGATTTCCGTCTGGGTGGAGCGCTCTTCCTCCTCCTCCTCCTCCTCCTCCTCCTCCTCCTCCTCCTCCTCCTCCAAGTGGCTGTATGAGGTTTCAAGGAAGCCCGCGCCACTTCAGAATTCAGATGAGGAAGGTAGCACACCCAGCAGGCCCGCCATGAGTCGGGGCCCAGCGGCGCATTTTGGGCAGATAAGTATCGTCATGTACAACCCCAACAGCGCCACCCAGAACCGCACGAAAGACATCCTGGACGAATTGCATACGACGTCGGTCATTACTCTAGTCGGAACACAGGAGAAGGAAAGGGCCTCACGAGATCTTCGACAGGAAGGGGGACTTTGGGGATACTCCGAAGGCTGGAAGTCAGGGGCTCACACCAACAACTCGTGCGGCATCAGTATATGGTTCAACAGCAAAGTTTTTCGTCCGTGTCATCTCCGAGGTGCAGCCGTAGCCCCCCGAGATCCTCAGGGGCGAGTGCTCCGTTGCAAAGTCGAACGTCAGCATCTCCGTTTCGCATTCATCAGTTTGTACTTCCCACTTTGTACCCCAAGAGAGAGAGAGCCCAACAGGTCAAATACATGCAGAGTTGTGCAAGTATGATTAGATGGCTGTTCAAGACCTTCGATGGGCTCTCGGGAAGGTGGACCCTTATCATCACTATGGATTTGAATTCTGTCTTTGCCACACAGGTCGAGGGCATCATAGGAGCATACGCACTGGGACAGGAAGAACGTCCAGCGGCCGCGTTGCCCAGGCCCCTTTTGATTGCACACGAGCTTTGCCTTACTAACACCATGAAGGATGCGGGCTAAACGTTTGTCGGGTCCAATGGAGTTGCCAAGACGCTCGACTACATCGCGGTGCCCGCTGCATTCCTGGCCACGGTGCGATGGTGCACGACTTTCAGACGGAGCACGCGCAGACTACAGCCTCATAGATGGGGAAGAGAATGGGATCACATACCTTTGGGAATGGCGCTGGTCAGTTCAGAGCAGCTCACGACTGTGCAGCAGCGACCAAGAACGACGATTGAGCCGACTGTTGCCAGCGCCCTATTGCAGCGTGGACACAGGAGACGAGATTTCATTGATATAGTTCATACGACAATCTTGGAAGAGGCTGCCTGGCTGGGGGCTCAGACGGGCTACAACAAAGCAGTCGAGGCCAACCAGCTCCTGATCGACGCGCTGAAGGCAGGGGCCGAGGCCACCTGCCACACCAAAGAGGGCTACACAGAGCCGCACAAGGATTACGCTGCGGAGCTCGGCAGGCTGCTGCGACAGAGGCGCGGCCTCCGCGAAAAGCTCGCATGGGCCTACGCCAGGGACGACGACGAGCAGCTCGCCACCACAGTGCGCATCATTACGATCAGAAGATGGCTCAGAAGGCACAAGCAGCAGCACTGGCATAGAGCTCAAGGGGACAGAGTGGCGGCTTTCAATGAGGCAAGGGCCAACAAGGACTACCACGACGTGCGCCGCCTTGCCCGCCTCATCGCTGCCAGAGGCAGAGGACCCAGGAAGAGGAACTATAGACAACTATCGACCAGCGGCACGGTAACGGAATGGACAGATCGACTGCAACTACCAGGAGACAAGGGCGGCGCTTCGGCACTCCCCCTCTCAGCGGATCACACGATGGACCTACTAGACAGACTACCCGAAAGCTACCAGGACGTAGACAACGACACAATCGCTGAGGACTTGGAGGCGTCCAAGGCCGAGGCGTGGCGCCTCCGCCTCTGGCGGGCAGCGCCGCAGGCCAGCATCGGCGCCGAGTTCGTCAGGGCTGCCACGTTCCCCAACTGGGTCGACAAGCGGAGGGAGAAGACGCCCCATGGCATTGGATACGAGAATACGGAGAAGATCGCAGCGGGCCCCGTCTATTTCGTCCTGTTTTGCCTCCTCAAAGGCATCAGAGAGAGCAGCAAGTTGCCGTGCGCCATGATCTGCCCCGGTGCCTGCAAAGTAGGAAAGGGGAGCAGCAGGGAGGGCGTATACGGGGAGAGGCTCATCATGCTAGCGCGCACGGTCGCGAAGGCGTACTACAGGAGCTTACTGACGAGAGGGCGCCCCCCGACTGTGGAGCCATGGGTTTACGGGTGCTTGCCTGGGCGGCGGCGTGAGGCCGCGGTGGTTGTCCAGCAGGCTTTCTCGTGGCGGAAGTACTACAATGGCGAATCCCACGTGAAGAGGCCGCACGGCGCCGCCAACGCCTTCTACAGCATCGACCACGAGAGCCTATGCCAGGATGTAGAGTACATCTTCAGGGAGGAGGACTGGGCGATCATGAAGTTCAGAGTCCAACTCGCGAGCCTCATGCTATCTGGGCACACGACCAGCGCTGTTTTGTTGCTCCAGCAAGGATGTCTACCAGGAGACCCAGCCATGGTACGACTTTTTGCAGGGGCCCACTCGCGACAAATAAGCATGGGATCTGTTAGGGTGGACAACTTCAAGCACAACAGTTTCACATGTCCGTGGAACAACAAATGGATATAAGCAGCCTTCGCACTCTATGTGGGCGACGCTGCCGACAATTTCGACGCCCCGACCAACGCCATGGGGGCCGTCCTCGAAGCGGGTAGGCACCAGAGTGGCATTACCACGGAGAGAATGAGTGAGATCACGATGGCTCAGAATGTCGCTAAGCAGGAGTACGTGCTTTTCCTTTGCGGCCACAGTGCGGCGTACCTGGAGGCCAGGCTTCTAGAAGAACAGTGCCTCCACGGACGCACGACAACTTGTGCCGGGTACCTGGGCCCGCATGTGCATTCGCGTTTCGCATTGTTTGAAGTTGAATTTCGCTTGCAGGCTGGGCGCGCGGCCTGGTACCTGCTCTATCGTTTTTGGACGAGTGTCGTCCCACTCAGTTGGGAGATCAACGTGCTGAAGGGCCATGGCGCCATTGCATGCTACAGTGGAGCCGAAGTTCTGTGTGCGCGCGACGGGCCCATGCGAGCCCAAGGTTGGCAGCCTGTACTTTCTTTTCTTGCCATGCGTGCGAGGATCTCGCTGAGAGGAACGGCTCTCTGGCGAGAGGACGGCTCGGTGAGGACCCTTACCAAACTACAGGTGCTGGCAAAAGTGCGCCTGGCGGCCTCTCAAGTCGAGCAGCGCGTCAGGAGACTCAGATGGCTTCAGGCTTGTCTTCGAGAACCCCCGCGGTGCGCTCAGTCTCTTGCAGTTGTTTTCGGGTGCTCTCGGGGCGATGACAGCAGCGAAATTTAGAAATACCTGGGCAGCGAAGGGGCGGCGAATCCGCGGCGTGCACAGTCTTGCGGGGACATTCGAGCGATCGAGCTGTTCGACGACGGCGCGAGGCTTCCGGGGATTATATGGATTGGAGAATACCCTTTTCGAGGGCAGGCAGGAGTTCATGCAACTAGATGTCGGAGGGGCCACGGCGCACTATTTCTTAAACCTCGCCAAGCACGAGCACGCGCAGGAGATGGTGGAGAGAGGGGGGCCCTACAGATGCACAGCGCTAGGAGGCGACGGCGAGCAATGCAACGAGAGTTTGTTCTGCAAAAAGCAGTTGGCGGCGCGTTACTTGATGAGAAAAGGAGGGGCCCACGGAAAGCAGTTGCTCGGTAGAATGTGTTGTGTATCGAGTCAGTGTGTTATAGGTGGTTCGAATTTCTCGTCGGTCGATTACGCGAAGCGGCGCGTGCATCAGAGTTTCCTAAAGGGTAGATGTAGATGTGATCAGGGCCGCACAGATGGTAAAGTATTACTACCCCGAACATTCGAATGTCCTGCCTGCGACTACACTGCGAGCGACAATGGCGACTTCCGTAGACATATCTTGGCTGAACACCTCCAGCAGCATCTTCATACGCACGTTCTCGAGATTGAAGTTCCTGGGCTCGAGGAGAGCATATTATTCTGTCGTCGAGAGGATGCCGGACTGGCTCATGGCCAGCACACTAGGCAAACGAGCAGCAGAGGAAGGACTACCCAGCGAGGGGACCAGGGCCAAGTCGGCCAAGGGAGAGGGCAAGGGAGAGGAGTCGCGCGCCAACGCCAGACTGCTTCGGCAGCTAGAGTCCAGAGTCCGCACGCTGGAGTTCGGAGCGGGCCTCACGGTGCACGGGCCCAGCGACGCGGAGATTGCGGCGGCCCTCAAGGGCACGTACGCGGAGTGCCAGAAGAAGACGGAGGGCAAGGCGGGGGCGCACGGTCTCGGCCTTCCAGAGTTGCAGAGTTTTGCCGCACTTCTGAGCGCTTTCAACGTCTGGCTCGAGAAGCAGGGCGCAGCGCAGGACTCGGTCAAGAACCTCGCGGATGTGCCCAATCGGCTCCTCCTGATGATGCAGAAGAGCGGCGTGTCCACGGCCTCGACCTGGATCAATGAGTGCAGCACCAGCAACACTCAGGACCCGGCCATCTTGAGGATCACGGTCAAGGTGGTCGGCTCTATCATATTGCCCGACCCGCGCGCTCAGGGACCGAACTTGCTCGAGGAGCAGGAGAACTTCTGGGGGGCAATCGAGGGCCAGGCCGCAGAGCCCGACGAGAAGGCAGTCGCGGCGGGAAGGATGATCGGGTCGCCTCTAGAGTTCGAGCTAAAGGGAGTAGGAAAGGTAGCAATGGTTGAGCGGGTGATTGATCAGCTTCTCAGGGCGGTAGGCTTCAACAATAAGCCAGGCCGATCCCCGAGAGGCGAGCTAGTTTGGCATATTGAGAAGTAGATAGTGGATTCCAAGGCCCGCCCCGTGCGGGGTGTCCCCGCGCCTCGGCGGGACACCGATCCACCGCTTTGGGGAGTTTTCCTTTTCAGAAGTGTGGGCCCCCCCAATGTGGAGATCTCAGGCTAAACAGTCCTGGCCCAGAGCAGCAGCGGTGTAGCGAACCCGAAGTTGAGTTCGAATGGGAAGGAACGGAACGGAATTCCTCCTCCTCCTCCTCCTTTTCCTTCTTCTCCTCTCCCTCTCGAGCGCTCCTCCTCCTCCTCCTCCTCGTCCTCCTCCTCCTCCTCCTTCTCCTGCTCCTCCTCCTGCTCCTCCTCTTCCTCCCCTCCCTCTCGTTGCTGCTGGTGTTGCACCACCGTCCGTCCTGGTGAGGGGCAGCGTTCTGGGGGCAGGGTCCACTTCCATCCGATCGATCTCATTCGGTGTCGCTTATGGCCAGCTCGATTTGGTTCGGTTCCGATGTTCCGACGATCCGGCGCGGCCCGACATTTGCAGGGCGCTGCCTGCAGACGAGCTGGACGGTCTCCGAAGGCGTCCCTTTGGCCTCCAAAGGTATCCAGAGGCCCCCGCGGAGGCCCCCGAGAAGGCCTCTGGAGGGCCAGCAGCATGCAGAGACTTCGTCCTGAAGTGATGTCTGGCCAGAGCCGATGGCCCTGAGGGCGTGGTGCTCACCCGTCTCAGCTCTACCGGAAGCGCACAGCCTCTGTCGGCCTTGTGTGCATCGCCCTTGTCGTATTGAAGGCCCTCGGTGGCAGGGTGTTGATACACGTTCCGAGGATCATCGGACGACGCCACGGGGGGGGTGACTTTTGCGGTCAGGATGCCTCAGATGGCGTGCCTTGGGGGATCCCCCCCAAAACGACCCAGATCAAGATACACGCTGTCCCAGAGATCCGAGGTGCTGTTTTTTTTCCAAGGCGTAACTCCCGGAAGCCCTGGCCCCTTCTCCAGGGCCGGTCGTGCACCCCGAGCCGTTTCCTGCTGCCGTTTCCTGCTGGTGCCAGGGCCCGGCGAGGGCCCCCAGGGGCCGAAAACGAGAGACAGCCGCAGAATTGTGGTGCTTGTATTGTCCGGTTTGTTGGGCTTTTCTGTCCGTGCCTTGCCACTCGTTTATCCAGGCGTCCCCCACCCCCAGCGGTCTGAGACATCCTGACCGTAGGAGGCCCGCGAGATGAGCCGGCGGGCGTGCTCTCGGTGCCTGGCGCTCGCGGCCTGCTGGGCGCTGGCGGCCGCCTCGCGCCTCGCGCAGGGCGCCGCCCGCGGCGCGTCGAGGACCCGGGAGGCCCCCGCCGCCGCGGCCGCCCTCGGGCCGGCGGTCTGCAGAGCGGGACGCGAGAGGAGGGAAAGAAGACGGTACCGTTTCTCTTCCCCGTGAGGGGAGTCCTGGAGGCCTCGCGCGGCGCGCAGTAGATTGCGCGCCATCTAGTCGCATATTCATGATGGCGCGACTATTTATGATGGCGCAATAGATTGCGCGCCATCTAGTCGCATATATGTGTATGTGTATGTGTATATATATATATATGATGGCACGACTATTGCAATAGTCGTGCCATCTAGTCCACATGTCCGCCCCGTCAGGAATGGAGCGGCGTTTGCGTGGCAATGCTCCGACGCTAGTCCGGCGCCGACGACGCCGGGCGTCAGGTGACGAGTAGTTGCCGATACTGCTAATGACGCTTTCCTCGTCGCAGCGGCTGGACTCGCCTCGAAATCCTTGTCAGAACCGCACGAGAGATCCGTGCAGCAGCGATCTGAGTATATTTTTGTTTGCCCAGGGCGCCGGCGTCGACGACGCCAAGGCCATGGCCCGTGCTGGCGCTTCTCCTCGGTTTCTCCCCGCCCCGGCTTCAGTTCCCGAGTCTGCCCGTGCCTTCGCTCCGCTGCTTCGCTCGCGCGCAGAGGGAGAGGGAGAGGGGAATGGGGGGAGGGGGGAGGGGGAGGGGGAAGGGGAGGAGGGGGAGGAGGTCAAGCTAGGTACGCTCGCGTCATATCTGACATCCTACCCCTCCCTCCCATCCCTTACCATGGCGTAGATCCCCTCTCTACTCGCACAGTCGGATGTCGAGCAGGGCAATGATCCCGAAAGGGTACGCGATGCATTGCAGAGCACGGCATGGCATGGCGTAGAAGAGCACCGCAAAGCGTAGTATCAACCTAGCATTGCATTGCATGCCGTGGCATGGCACGGGAAATGACGCCAGCGCTGCAGCGGGAGCACGAGTCGGAACGAGCGGAAGCGCGGAAATGAGGGCAGCGCTGCAGCGGGAGCACGAGTCGGAACGAGCGGAAGCGCGGAAATGAGGGCAGCGCTGCAGCGGGAGCACGATTCGGAACGAGCGGGGCCCGAAAATGAGGCTGGCGCCTCAGCGGGAGCAGCATTTTGGAAAAAATGCAGGCGAAAACCCAACTCCGGGGAATCCTGTGTGTAAGAAAACAGAACGCGGGGGGGGGCTAATACTTTCAAACCGTCATCAGGGGAAGAGGGAGAGTAGTATTCATGGTGAGTAATTGTGGAGGAGGAGGTGGGGAAGGGGGAGGAAATTGGGGAGAAGGGGGGAGGAAGAGGGGTGGGGAAGGAGGAGGAGGAGGAGGAGGAATCAGGGGCAGCGTAAGCTGTGGAGACTCAGGGGCGATTCATCGACCCCCAATCGCCCTTTGATCGCCGGCAGGGGCCTGACAGCCCACCCTGCCCAGAAGCGTGCGGATCTGCTATTGATGGCCTATCGCCGACCAGTCGGCGATGCATCGCCGATTCCAGGCCGATGCTTTGCCCCCCGAGCAGGTCCACCCATTTCTGTCCTGGCGACACTCGATCTTATTACCTTTTTCGGAGCGGTTCGCTTTCGACTCCGCCTTCTCAACCATGGACACTTTCGCGTGTGTGTGTGTGTGTGTGTGTGTTTGTGTGTGTGCAGGTCGTCGCTCTTTGCTTTCGCTTGCCTAATCTCTTGGGCTTCGCTTAGTCGTTTCATCCGTCGCCTTAATTTCTCCTTTTAAGTGTAAGTGCTTGGTGCTTTGTGAGCACAACGGGTACCCGAACATGAGTACGAATGTTAATGACCGCAGCAATTTCAGTTGTCTCTGTACCGATGGCACAAGGCGTGCGAAGAGTCGTTCTGTAATCCTGGTAGTCCTCGTCGTCGTGCTGGTAGAAAAGATACTAGCAGGAGAGTTGTCAGTAATCCGTACACCCGTAGCAGTGGCAGTAACAGGTTTCTGCTTGTAATCGACCCCCCGCGATTTTGATATGCCCTTGAAAGCCGCATATAGTTTGAATGGGAAGGAGGGGACTCCTGCGCGGAAGCATCTCCTTGTCCTTCTCCTCTTCATCACCATCATGATCATGATCATGATCATGATCATGATCATGATCATGATCATGATCAGCATCATCATCAGCACCATCATCAGCATCATCATCAGCATCAGCATCAGCATCAGCATCAGCATTATCATCCTCATCATCATCATCATCACCATCACCACTACCACCACCACCACTTCCCTCCTCCTCCTCCTCACGAGGCTACTCACGAGGCTACTCCTCTGTCTTGCTCCTCCTCCTCCACCTCCCACTCGGATTCCCCTTCTATGTCGACACCATTGAACACCATCGGACGACACACGCACAAGTACCAGCAAACCAAGCCATCCTGGGGAACTTGGGGGTAATCCTCCAGCACATTCAATGTTTCATGTTCCTTGGGTTCTCTCCCGAGAGAAGATTATGGTTGGGAGGAGGGGTAAGAGGAGGAGGAGGAGGAGGAGGAGGAGGATGA